CAGTCAATTCGGCTGCCATGTAAAATTACTATCTATCTATCTATCTATCTATCTATCTATCTATCGATCTATCTATCTATCGATCTATCTATATTGCCGACGACACAAATATGACCTTTACAGGTTGTAACATTAAATCAATTCAAGAGCAAATGACAAGTGATCTAAACAACATATTTCAATGGCTTTGTTCTAATAAATTGACGCTAAATGTCCTAAAAACAGATTTTATGCTAATTGGCTCACGACAAAAATTATCGGCGCTTGACGATTCAATAGAATTATCGGCTGATAATGTGACATTAAGTAAAGTTAGATCTGTAAAGTGTTTAGGTGTCGATATTGACGAGAACTTAACATGGGAAATACACATCTAGAGCATCCGTTTAAAGGTATCCCGTAATATTGCAGCCCTCCGTAAAGTGAAGAAACTCTTTAGTCGGAAAAATCTTGTGTCTTGTATAGAGCATTAATTGAACCGTATTTTATTTACTGTTCAATTGTTTGGGACAATATAAGTGAGACATTGGAAAAACAATTGCAAGTTCTTCAAAACAGAGCGGCGCGCATAATTACGGGAGCACCCTTATTAAAATCATCTTCGTTGATTTTGGCGGAATTAAGCTGGATGAATATAAAAGAAATGCGAGAAAAGCAAAAACCTATTATGATGTATAAAATAGTACATGGTCTTGCACCAGAATATTTAACGGAAATGTTTACATTTCATAGTAGCTTAAATTATTATAGCCTTCGTCAATCCAAATTAAACTTCAAGCTTCCTGCAAATCGAACAGATTATTATAATTCAAGTTTTGCTTTCACTGGATAAAAGCTATGGAATTCTTTACCAGACGAACTTAAACATGAACCTCCATTAAAAAGGTTCATAAAAGGATTAGAACATCTGCTATCTGCACCAACATAGTCAGTTATTATTCTATGAATAATTGTAAATAGTCTCCTTTCTTTCAAAAATTCCAAAAAAAAATGTAAAAATGTACGTATATCGTAAATTATACACGGCTTTTAGGAAGAACAAATTGTAAATAATTATTATTTATTCCATTTGATAAAACCACCGTGTTTAAATAAAGATTTCAATCAATCAATCAATCAATCAATCAATCAATCAATCAATCAATCAATCTATCTATTTATCTATCTATCTATCTATCTAGTAGCTACTGCGCGAATTTTAATACATGTATTATATATGGCGCGTTTTTACCGTCAAAATTCAATAGGTCCAATAGTTATAAGTCGAACACCAAATCACCAATGATATCACACATCACAAATCACCAATGATCGGGCAACACTTACTCGAATCGAGCAGACTGACATGTAAATCGATTATTGAAATCGATCAATATACATTCAAAACGGGCAAACAGTATAGCCACATCGAACGACTATTCCTTGTTTATATTATATTGTGAACTAAATGTTATTGTATTAGGCAAATGAGAACCATGCAATGAGAATCATTGCAAGTGAATTTAACAAAGGCCAGTAAACAAAATTGACAAAAATATACACGATAAAGTTGCACATTTCAGCTTGGAGTTTGGTACTATTTCAACTGTCTATTCGACATCGAACTTTCACGTGTTCAAAATCTATCTGTCTTATGTTTGATCACTCTATAATTTTGTCTACGCAAAGGTTTTCATCATAACTTAATAACAAATTATAATCTAGGTTTTGGAAATCATTGGGGTTTTTATCAGGAAGCAGTTCGCGCTTAACACTCTCTTACAACATTTCGACGGCCATTTTTAAACACCAAATTAAACAGAGTATAGAAATAAAATAACACCCGAAATAAAGTTTTTCGTTACTTAAATCTTATCTTTATGTTTCTTATAATAGCTAAAAATAACAAAAACATCTAAATTTTACACAAGTAATATTTTATAAAGCAATAGTTATTACCTTACTCCCCTCGATGTATTGGCGTTTCCACGCCCTCTCTCCCTTCGCCCTGGTTCAGCAGGATAGAATGTCTCGCTCGGCTGAACAATGTTGAGTTGCTGCGCAGAAGAGTGAGGACTATACCGGCATGCAACACGGTCGGGCGCGGTTTTTTACATATTATCGATTTCTCGCTCTGCGCCGTCATTGTTCGGTTGGATTTTTGCACTATGCATGGAAAGAAAGCTTCGTTTTTGGGTGGACACGAGCTTCTGTGTGTTCACTGTGTGTCAAAACAGCCTTTAATCCTGATTCCAGAAGAATTACCGTGTGATGAACTTGAATGTCGTGAGGTTCATGTTTATAGTTTTACGGATAGTTCGAAGAACAGTCCTTCGTCCAGCTGTGGTTAACGGGATAAAAATTGGTGAAATTGTCTCTGATTGCGGTGGTCCTGCACTGGTGCAAATTCACGCTAGTTGTGTTTTTAAGGTGAGATGATTTTTATATAAAAATAGAAATATAAAAATGATCCTATGTTGTATAAATACAGCAGTATTAAGCGTATTTTTATTTCATATCATGCAGTTCTTCGACCCTAATGATCTACGGGAAGGAGGTATAAACAAAGAATATAACAATGCTATGTTGTGGGAGTTTGACATTTCAACATCACCAACATCCCAAGCAATCCCACCATGTGACCCAGATAGTCAAGATGATGAATTGGATAGTGTACTTCCACCAATAGAATTACATCAGCAAACTAATTGTAACTGCATGCTTTAATTTACCAATAAATCCTGTTTGCCTTGACAGACATTCATACACATGCACCGAATGATGGAAGAAGCGCGCAGTGGTAGCATTGTTGTAAAGAATGAAATGGAGTAAATTCAACACTATCGCAATGTGTCATGCATTGCAAGGATTTATACTAATCAACCAGTTATCTATGCTCAAATGATCAACCAGTTGTCTATTATTTTACTCTGCCTAACGCCAGATTATTTTATTGTCTAACACTAGACTATTTACTCATCGAGGTGAGAATGCTGACACTCAAATACTCAATGGGTTAATTAAAAACATTGAAAGAAAATGTTTAGCAGAAGCTGCAAAATTGTTTATTGGTGTCTGGTGTAATACTGACATTTCTTTTATTTGTAAGGATAGAGCTGGGGAACCTGTAGTGGTAGTCTTGGCCCTACCCCGGTTTTCCTGTACTGCATGTGTTTTCGTCACTTCTTGATTATACCATAAGTATTGTATCCCATGCATAAACACCATCTTATCAGTTCTGCAGTTTTTTGGCAATCTACCGTAAACCTCCACTTAAAAACACTGGGCTTATATTCTTTCGTAAGCGATGATGGGCTTACACAAGGGGGCTTGTACACGGGGGGGGGGCTTATATTTGGATGTTTATGGTATATACATGGTTTTCATGATTTTCAGTGTATAGTCTTCCCTTGCTCATCACAAATTAATAAAAAGATCACACACTACATAATTGATGTTGATAAAATTTATTTATTTTAAAATCGAAAGTAAAGTATATGAAAGGTGATGCTTTTGCTCAAGCTTAACGATGTAGGCTATTAAAACAATTAGAGGTATTGCATAATTGGTAAACCTCTTCAATCGTAATCATTTGCATGATTTTCTGCAACAGATATGAATTCAATGAATGCTTTATCTTCCTCAAATTACTGGGGATTTATCTTGGAGGAGTCAGTTTAATCTTTCTGATAGGAAACTACAAAGCAAACAGCAAAAGTGAGAGGGGTAATCTCAGTGCCAGCACAATTAGACGGCAACAAAGAAACTCATGGATTTTTACCAGGATTGTGGGCATGCTTCTCCAGGAAATGTGTGTACTATAGGTTTTCTGGAGACTGGAATGCCACTCCCAGCATTGAAAAATAATATTGGCGTACAAGTGGATAGGAATTGCCCAACATTGTCATGAGTTTATTTAAAGATGAACAAGAGGTATAAAATAGAAGGATTACATCTCCTGTCTATATACTGTTTAAAGTCAATCTTAAAACAACTGCCCAATAATTTTTAAAGCAGAATTCTGCCCAACTAAACACTGACTGAAGTGGTTGCAACCCCCAGCCTCGTATGCCTATGGACAGAAATTCTTCCAGGCAAAAAAGCATTAATATAAAATACAATGTTTTAATACTGTTAATATGATAACTTTTATTGTCCCATTAAAAATATATAATGTTTTAGTGTGGTCAAACTAGTCATGCTGTATTTTATGTTTGTAAAAACCTTGATATTAAATTTTTCAAACTAGAAATTCTTCGTCTTTTATTATTAGGTTTCCCTGGGGTGTCACCTTGAGAAGTATATACCCGTTTAAAATATACAGCAGTATCATTTTAAGTTTTACTCCAAAATAGCCGAATTATATAATAAAATGTAAAAAATATAGTCAGTGCAGGTAAACATAAGCATATCTAACCTTAAAAATTGCATTAAACTTAAAATATGTAGGAACAAAAATGCGTATGTTTCAAAATTATCATGAAAAATAGTGATTAGTACAATAATTTCCTTCGCGCCATGATGATTATCAGGCGGTCTATTCCCGCCATCGGCGATAGAAATAAGCGAAACTGTACCCTATTTTCAAACCGCGATTACTTGTCGGTTTAGTGGAGCATACTCATGTTTTAAAGTAACAGTAGAAAGAAAAAATCTTCCCGACTTCGATGACGTGTTTTGTTTTTATTTTCCTAAAAAAAAGTGAATTTGCTTCTGCATTATATCAAGGTCATTTTATTGGCGTATCCACTGACCCGAATCAAGCATAATTACAATACGTAATTAACATAACTAAAAAGCAATTCCTGTACCAAACAAGTCAAAAACAGTTTAATTAGGGTCTTAAATAATACAAATATAAAAACATACCTTCGAAAAAACGAGATAAACGGAGCCAAAATCGCAATGTATTTCAACAACTTTTCGCCAAATGTTCGTTGAAAATCGTATTAATTGTGAATAATAATTAGACGCAATGCATTGTGGGAAGACCCTCATTCCTCCTCTGGTTGCTGCGTAGGCCAGTCGAGTCAGAAATCATAATAGAGGAGTATTGGCAATCTACCACTGCAAAAGACAGTTTCTTTGTCGGATATTGGTAAACAAGAAATATTCATTGAACTATCAATATATACGGGTAAGTGCATATGGTTTAATCTATTTTACGAAACTCTGCAATACATGTTTGACGGCATTGGCAAACATTTGTGACAATGGGCAACTGCCAGATAAGGTCGGCGAAATTGTCATTTATGACACGTATTGCCTTGATTGGCCGGCGTTTCTGGCCTTGAATTATCGTCTTCACGCGACCTGCAGGTAAAATTTAACTTCGACGTATATAATTCTTCATCAATACAATAGTTTGGAAAGTCAGCGACAAACAGCATGAGAAATATTTACTTCCAGTTTCGTATTTTAGAAATGGCTTGCATTATCAAGAGTTTATTTCACAATGACCGATACAACTAAAGTATCCCCGCAATTTATTGGTTTGTTTTGTGTTTAACTTGACTCGTATTTTCGAGTTCATGCTGCATGTATACAAGATGCGAACGTGTTCGGCCTTACAGTTTCAGATTCGCAGTTTCAGATTATTCACATTCGGATTTTGAATATGATAGCGTGGGCTCGAGTGAGTACGGACGCGAATTTCTGTGCTCTTCAGCTTTAGCTCAAAATCTACTAAAATGTCAAAGGACACTATAAAATCTTTAAAGAAAGAAAACGACGAGTTAAGGGTTGAAATCGAATCAATCAAGAACGATTTCAAGAAGTTTGTACAGGATGTTAAATCCAGTGAAACCAAGAGCACTACGAACGCCGCAATGGCAAGTTCAGCGCTGGATAAAGAATCAGTCAAAAGTCTGGAATATTTGAGTAATGAGTATGATGATTTGCACCGTTTTCGAAATTCGTCTAAACAACAAATGTCGCGACTGGAATCTCGCCTAACTGTATTAGCAGAAAAGGTCGAAAATCTCTCCAAATCTGTTAACGAAGCCGAGCAATACAGCTACGCATATAACGTGAAAATGTTGGGAATACCGGAATCCAGCTCGAATGAAACTGCAGCTGAGACAAGCTAGCTATGTGTCGACATTTTCAATGCCGTAGGAGCAAATGTGTCTATTGCAGATATTGATATTGATCATCGCGTAAAGCCACGAAGGAGTAATGGCAGTCAGCCAAAACCGATTGTCTGCAAATTTGTTCGCCGCCTAGCACGGGAACAAGTTATGGCCGTGAGACAAAACATAAAGAAAATAGACCCAACTCGCGCTGGCCTATCTTGAGAAACATCAATGGAATATGCTGGGATTTACGATAATTTAACTCGAAAACGTCAACAACTTTTGGTTGCGCTGCGAAAAAAATTTAAATCTGACAACAACTTCAGTTATTGTTGGACAAAAAATTCTACAATCTATCTCCGAAGACTAAAGAAGAAATGGCAATCAAAATCAATGATAATCACGACTTGGAGACCTTAATGAATGAACAGGGACGTAGGGACTAATCCTTTCAATTCAACAGCTAAGTGGAATTTTTGTAATTTACCGTCATGGCAAACATGAGTCTAAAGACTAAAAGCAGTGCTAATAAAGCATTTTTTCTAGAACTACCTTTTTCAAACCTTTGGCCCGCTCAATTTAATAATTTATTTAAAAACAGTAGTTTTAGTAATTCTTTCCTACCGACAAAAAAGACCTTGATCGCTTGACTAGCATTCACGATTTGGACCTTTTTAATTTGAACATGCATGAGAAAAGATCGAACAATGTAAATGATAATTACTATTCGCAAATGCGTTCCAAATATTATTCGCCTCATAGCTTTAATCAACTTAAAGAAACCTCTTATGTATCTTATACTGACTGCAATAATAAGTTTTCCTTACTACATAATAACATAAGAAGCCTAAAGAAAAATTTAGAAAATTTACAAACACATCTCCTCGATGAACTTGCCAATAATTTTGATGTAATTGGTGTTACAGAAACTAGAATTAAGCAAGACGCTTTTATTGATTTTAATCCCTCAATGCGAAAATGATATAAACAAATCGTTTTCAACATTTTACAATAAGTTAAATACAGTTATCAAAAACCATGCTCCCCTTAAGAAAATTTCTAAGCGTAAAGCAAAGCAGTTAACAAAACCATGGATAACTAAAGGTATCAGGAAATCAATTAAAATTAAGAATAGGTTATATAATCGCGGTGATAAGGATAAATATAAATTCTATAGAAACAAAATTTTGACACTCACTCGTCAGAGTAAAAAGGAATATTATCATAGTTATTTTGAGTACAATTTTGCAAACGCTAAAAAGACCTGGGAAGGTATAAACGAATTAATTAATCGGAAGAAACAGTCAACTAGACCCATCCCGTATTTAAAATGTCCCATAAGCAACAGAATGATATATGATGAAAGTAAGTTTCCAAATATATTCAATAAATACTTTTCATCAGTGGGTCATAATTTAGGTAGTAAAATGCCAAATTCACAAATTCCATTCACAAATTACCTTCCAAAGATAAATAACCGAGGATCGTTTCAATTTAATCCTATCATGCCGCACGAGATCGAAATAGAAATTATGTTAATTCCAATGAAAAAGGCACATGGCCTATACTCATGCCCAACTCGTATTTTAAAATGCGCTAGACACGTTTTATCCAATCCTTTATCTGATTTTATGAATAAATCGGTTGAATGCGGCCAATACCCAGCTAAATTAAAACACTCAAAAGTTATCCCTATTTACAAAAAGGATGATGAAACCGATCCTTCTAATTATAGACCAATATCTTTTTTATCAATCTTTAATAAAATTTTTGAAAAATTGATGTATAATCGTTTAAAATCTTTTCTTGAGAAACAAAATATCATATTTAAATCTCAGTATGGTTTTCGGGAAAAATATTCAACTCAGCATGCAATTTTAGATATAGTAAATCAAATCCAATCTAACATGTCTCGTAAATTGTTCACTTGTGGTATTTTTATTGATTTGCAAAAGGCATTTGACACTGTAAACTACTCAATACTTTTAGAAAAATTGCACCATTATGGAATAAGAGGCATCATAAACGATTGGTTTTCCTCTTACCTGTTAGGTCGTATCCAAACTATTCAAATGGGTGTAAATATATCTGAAAAAGAAGAAACTCTTTCTGGCGTTCCTCAGGGACCGCTACTATTTTTAATTTATATAAATGATATTTATAACTCCTCTGATAAGCTGACGTTTTCCTTATTTGCAGATGACACCAATTTATTATACGCTGACAAGAATTTAAAAACACTAGAAAATATTGTCAATACTGAACTTCTTAATATCTATAACTGGTTAACAGCTAATAAATTATCCCTAAACATAAAAAATCTAATTTCGGTATTTTTCATTCTTACCAAAAACGGCTGGATTATGCGGTAGATTTGAAGATGTATGATGCACAGTCCAATACTTTCGTCTCACTAGCAACTAAAAATTACATTAAATACCTCGGTGTTCTCATGGACTCAAATCTTTCATGGAAATTTCATATTGGGTACATCGCCTCTAATCTTAGCAAACGAATTGGCATAATTGCTAGGCTGCGTCATTTTGTACCAGTTAGTACACTAATAAGTATCTGTAAGTCCCTTATACTGCCTTACCTAACTTATGCTATTGTTGTATGGGGATGTGCTGCCAAATGTTACATTGATAAAATCCTTAAACTCCAAAAACCTGCTCTTCGTTTAATATATTCTGCACACTATCTGTCTCATGCCATTCCTTATTTTCTGTCAGCTAATGTTCTGCCAATAAATTTGCTTTATTGCAAATCAGTATCAATACTAATGCATGACGTATCAAGTTCAGTAGTATCCCCAAATATTTCGGCTTTGTTTACCCCATTAAGACACGAACACAACACCAGATCTTCCACTAGGAAGATCTTCCACGTTGAATATTCAGGTTTAGATGTGCAAAGCAAATCATTCTCAAGAATGGGAGGAAGAATTTGGAATAGCATTCCTACAGAATTACGTGAAAAATCAAAGAATCACTTTAAAAAAGTTTTACATTGAAAGTTACTTCAAATATTAGAAACGAAAGACGATTATATTGATATTCTAACAATACAAAAAGAAATCGCAATAATCTAAAAGTTAAATTATTTTATGATCTTGAATTAAAGTCTGATCATTCGTTAGACATTATGTTTGTATATATGGTGAATGTATTTCTATCATATATATGCCTTTTGGTGATGAATAGTGCTTGTATTTACTAATGAATTTTGAAATCTTCTTTAATTCCGAATGTGTGTAGTTGCTGTCCACCACGATTAGCTTTTGCTATTTGTGGACAGCAACATTTTATTGATTTTGTAAATTGAATTGAATTGAATTGAAAATAAATCAGTGTCTGACGTATAAAATGTCGAATTACTCTGTTTCTTTCTACGCAATAAACTTGTTAACGAATTTCATTCTTCTTCAGGACATTAGGCATTCAACAAATGCATCTTGAAAGCTTTAGAGCAAAATGTGAAGTCAGGAGAAATCGCAAAAGATAGACGATCAAGACGTGAATTCATGCTGCGCCATATTTTCCCAAGTGATCAGCAATATCATATTTCGCTGTGTAAAGCAAAATACCCGTTGTAGCTCCCTAATCTCAAAATCCATTCATTTCTACATTATAATGAATGTATAAAACAAACTAGATCTTGAAAATGTTTGTCGTTTTGTCTGGAAAAATCGCAAAATTTAGCGGACGGGAACAGGCTTTTGTAACCCGAAGCGAATGATAGCAACGCCGCATGAGAGAAAAATCCTTCAATGTATCATACATTATTGTTTTCGAGTGTTTGGATATCCCGGTGAGACACGAGCTCGAGTTTTTTATATGGCTTTTCAAATGAATCGAGACGTAACAGAATGGTTTCATTTGCAGATTTGAATAGAATTCTTAACCAAGCATAACGTAATTAGGAATTCTATTCAAGTAATTTTGCATGCGTAATTAAGATATTTGATGAAAACACCGTAGCGACTTTCATCAAGTTTCACCGGGTTATCCAAATGGCATCTTGTGATCAAATAAGTGATTATCATTGGCTGAATTGGCACTCCCTACACTGGCACAGACCATTCAAGATTATTTAGATTTAGGTTTCAAAATGGTAGTAGCGGAATCTATAAATTCACAGGTATACTACATCACTGACCCACAGGTCCCTCACAAAGAAGGAAACGTGCCATATGTGATGACAGTTTTTATGGATTATCCAAGGAATTTCGAACGAAAATTACAGATAACTACGTTTCTCAAAGTTGCGAGTTAATCCCCGAGCCGACGGCGCGAAGCGCCGTGCGAGGGTACTAATTCCCCCCGGCTATTTACACCCGGGGAAACGAAAGCATTAGCGAAGTCTAAAGTTCATCAAATATCGCGGGCGTGGCTCACTGTGCTTGTTTCGGTGGGTGGTCATCCTCACTGATTTCATAATATAGCGGACTGTAATGAATAGCCAACACTGATTGGTTCAATTTAAAATTGGCATTAGAACGGCTGAATGACGATTGACGACAGCGAAATTGATTTGATGATTTCTTGCAAATATATTCCATTTTTGCAAGATTTTGTAAATTGCAAAGGATTTTTGATGAAATAAAGGCAAAAGGACTGCTAAAAGAAGGAAGTAAACCTGCCGACGTTAACGAAGGTAAGTTTGTTTTAAATATTGATGCATTGTTTGCTTTTAATATACTGTAATCTCGGCTGTAATTACTTTAAAAGCCGATCGTTGCGTATATAAAATATGAAACAAGACAGCGTATTATTTCAGTGTTTCTTTATTGATTACACTTTTTATTATACTAAGCAAAGTTATTTACATTGGAGAATTTTGAATAATTTTATTTCGAACTCAAAGTTTATTGATAAAGGCAGTTTAGTTCTGTGTTAAAAGAACACTTTCAAACGTTTTTCGAAGCGTTTGTGGTTGAATTTTACTTTAAATTGGAGCTTATAATATTACGTATAATAACATACCTACTGTAATTACTTTAAAAGCCGATCGTTGTGTATAAATATGAAACAAGACAGCGTATTATTTCGGTGTTTCTTTATTGATTACACTTTGTATTATACTAAGCAAAGTTATTCGCATGGGAGAATTTGGAATCATTTTATTTCGAACTCAAAGTTTATCGATAAAGGCAGTTTTGTTCTATAGTAAAAAAACATTTTAAAGCGTTTTGCGACGTGTTTGTGGTTGAATTTTACCTTAAATTCAAGCTTATATTATACGTATAATAACATACCTAACATATATATGTTTAGGAAATTGATAACTTTGTAATTAAAAGTGATATTTATAGGGGATTTTTCATTTGTAAAAATATTCTTAAAAAATTATCGTGTTACCATTACCATGACAACTACTTAAAATACTTCACGTTCGGAAAATAAAATGGTTTTGTCTGCAAGGCGAGGGTTTCTGCATGCATGTATTTTCTAGTTCTATAATTATTATTCTTTATACTGGTGATCAACATCTGTATTATGTATTAACAACCAACTTCCTATTTTCACAGGAGTAAATTAAGTCCATATCACCTTGAATACTTGAACCATTTCATCATGGCGGATAAGAAAAGACTAGAGCAAAATAATTGGGATTCTCAACCACAAGAATCGACCAGTGGAGGTATCAATTATTCTTCGAAACAGAATGACAAGGGTAGTGAAACAAGTTTCAAAATAACCACAGAGGCAGTGACAGTAGCAGTGGGAGCTGCTGTAGTACTAGTAGGAGCCGTTTGTCTTGTAGCTCTTGCCAATAAAAAAGAATAATTGGACTATACTTATCATCACTACTTATGCAGAATACCTGTTTGCTATACAACTGTTTGTAAAACTCATTAAAATTCATCAAGGAACGACAAAAAATCTGTGTTTAATGAGTTGATTTCGTATCCGTATCTATAGAATTCTCCTGATTTATATATCACCATGTTTTCTCCCCATCATTTCTTGCCATTTTTCATATACATTTCTATATCTTGTCATTAAGAATAGTTAGGAAGCACAGCCGTTCGCTTTGTGATCAATTATTAAAGAAAATTCTGATATAAATGTTCGACAATTAATATTCGTACTGGAAAAACTGTAAATAGGTCATCTTTGCTTGACCTTTCTTTTTACTTGCAACGAATTGCATAAGTTAATCTTCAAGGCGTTCTCTTACTTAAATTATGTATTCGAATTTTGGGGCTACAAGCGTGCCGATTAAAAATTGACTGCACAAACTAGCTGTGTAATTTTTTCCTAAATAACACGAACGTGCCGATGTAAATAACTTTTAATGTCTTTAACCTATCAGAACCGAGTAGAATTAACTAAAATGACACCATTAAAAGAATTCTGTTTTGGGAGTTATTATTGGGTTTTTCACATCAAAGAGTTATTGCCGAAATACATGGGCTTCTTTCTGTTGGTTGTCTTCTCTCGTTACTGTGGCCTGGTACACAACGCCTTCGGTTAAAAATTTGCAAGGGAGGGGGCAGGATTCTTCCTGACGGCAATTACACTTCCTATTGGGATTTTTAGTAGCCTTGGGCTGCTTCTAATTGAATACAGTTCTGTTGTGCGCCGTGATGGTATTATGGACGTTGGGCATACAGTTGTAGCTTAACTTAAGGTTGTTCCTATTGAATAGTTTATGTAAAGGATGCATGGTTGGGTGGGAAGCATTCATCAATAGCCTGCAGAAATTTGTGACCAATGTCGGTGACAACGTTGGTGCTGTAGGGAGGATTAACTAAACCATATCACATTTCTGTTTCTATTACGTTTAGGTTTTGGTGGCTGGGGATTGTAATTAAGGACGTAGTTAAAACCGCTCTAGTTTCGCAGGTCTTCCTGATATGGAGGCGCAGCCGACTTGAAGGATTGCTTATCTGAGGATATGTCCTGCCCCCTGCCTTGCAAATGTTTAATTAACCGAAAGCGTTAGAATAGAATACTCTTTTCGCTAGAAAATTTTAAAGAAATGTAAGGCCTACTCAAACAAGAGAAAACGTTTTGCACGAAAAATTTATTGCAATTTACTATCCCAAATTAAGCTCATTGAACTCAAGAAACGAACGAATATCCGCATGTAGGCACAGGAAAACATTCCTGCTCTGTACCATAGTCTGTAAGCTCAGGTTACAGATATATATTTACCCTTTCCCAGGTTACTATATCGCAAGGAAAATGCCGATATGTATATGCGGGATGTACTACAACCATGCACAAAGTGTCTTTTTCACTGTATGTTTGATTTATTGTCTTACACATTGTCCTACATCAATTACCTCGTACAATTGTATCTTACATCTCATCTAATAAAAAGCGCACTATAAAGTATAAACTCGGTGGTCACGTGTGTATAAGCGCGTGCAACGTGGGTTAATTAATCTGATTGGTTTATTTTTGTCACTTTGACAAAACACCATTTTTTGACAAAACACCACCGAAAATTCTCACGATGAGCGCGGTTTGACAGACTGGTGCCTAGTCTTCCTACAACACGCGCAAAGCTTCCTGGGATAGCGTCATAATTCACACCGCCATATTTAAAAAAATTTTCTTTTGAATTTTGGGCTCCGAATACCGAGCTTTTATTTGGCGATGTTGATATGTATTTTAAAGATTAAACATCAGGGATAACTGGGTAACATCCAGGTAAGAATTTTGTTAAGTTTTATATATAAATAGAGCAATTTTGAAAGGAAATACTTACTATCTTCATTCGTGAATTTTGAGCCAGATGTGAGCATTTGCTGCGTCAATATTTGAATTAAGCGATGATATGAATAGCCTACATTAGCTTTATAGAAAGGCTTACATTTGACTCGACCTTTGTATCAAATTATGTTTATCGTAATGCTAAATAGTATACTTTGACCTTTGTGTATTAGTGTATATGACATTGTCAGATTACAGTGTTTCATGACCTATAAAATAACATACCTTAGCATCTCCTCAATCCTCATATGCCTACCCAGGCATGTCCCAGCTAAACATGGTTTGAGAAAATTTATCGACTGGTTTCAAATCAACTAATACTTTGATAAGTTTCTAATATTTATTCATATATAGGTGGGTTAGTTTAGAATAGATAAAAATATCAATTTGATTTGTTGTTGTCATGTGTGGCAACTTGAATATAGATGGTCCCTAACTGGAAACAGTTAAAGTCCTTAGTTTATTGCTCAAACTTATGAATACATTTAGTTACACCACAGGTCTGCATGATCTGCTTAATAATATATTTAGTATATTTAACAACCTTTGGGCTACAATTTATATATTTTAGAGACACCCCGACAAGGGTTTGATTGTTTTCGGAATAACCCATTTCACTCCAATGAGCCCAATTTTAAGCATTTTCGTATTAAATGTTATATTGCCTAATGCCGGGCAATTTTATTCGTCAAGGAAAGTGTCTAGCTAGAGTGTTAGACTCTGCCGGCCATGTTTCGTGTTGCCATAATTAGATCAATTAGTACTTTGATATTATTATTTAACTAAATATAATTTTACTTACAGACTGTGGCATGCTCGCCCATATCTCGCCTATTAACACCTATAAATGAGCAACTTCCTCTTATCTTACTTACTTGAAGTTCTTTGTAGGGGTGTGCAGGATAGAATGTTTTTGCCATCCAGCTGCAAACAGGATATATGTTGGATAGTTGAAAAATATTCAGCCGGATTCAGGGCATTATTCAAATATAGAAATGTTTTTTCTAACCTGTAAAGAAATGTACAAAATCTTGCAAAAATACAACTTGCAACAAAAGTTGGTTTTTTTTTGCTGTCGTCATGCAGTCGTTATAATGCAAATTTCAAATTTGACCAATCAGTGTTCACTATCTCGACAGTCCGCTACATATTTTAAGATTAGTAATTATGACCACCCATGAACGGTGAGCCATGTGGCCGCGATATTTGATGAACTTTAGACTTCGCTAGTGCACTCCTTTCCCCGGGTATAAATAGCCGGGCGGAATTAGTACCTCCACCCCGGGCTTACGCCCGGAAAGGCGCTCCGCGCTGTTGGCTCGGGGATAACACAAGTTTTTGCTATCGGATTTCATATTAAGTCTAATACTGCTAAGCGTATTTACCACATTATATACACAGCATTAAAAACTAAGAAACCAAAACTTATAACTTAAACTTATAACTTAATATAGAACTTACAGTGGGCCAAAGTCCATTGAGTGAACAACGCACGAAGTGCAGTCACGTTACATTATTTTATACACTACATATGTTATTATGACCTTTACAGGGCCTAAAAACATTACTAAACCTTGCGCAGAGTGCCTGAGTCAAAATAAATTACAAGTCGAAGCGAGAAAAACAATAAACGATATCCTTCAAATACGCGCCAATGCATTGAAATACGTCTCAAATACTGTTTGTCGCACGTTGCTTATATTTTGTGTTCTGCGCATAGCAAGCACAAATTAGAATTCTGCCTCGCTCGCTCGCTTGAGGCTCGCTCGCTACGCAGCAATTACCTAAATATCTTTCCCTAATTAATCCACGTTTAGTTGACCATTAACCGACACAGTTAAACAGTCTATCAAACATAATTTATATTTTGTAATTTTAAAAAAATCATGGCTTCTTGTTTTATACGAAATTCATGCGCACGTCAGATGTGATAATTGTTCACGTCACATCTCGTAAAAATTGCCAAAATTAACCCAAAATTTCTCCCTTTTGCTTCGGTAAATTTTTTAAAAACTTTGCTAATTTTTAATATCGGCACAACAAGTGCAATATCCTTTTCTCTTAAAATTCTATCGAAGGAAAAATATTTAATATTGATTTTTGACGTTCTAAGGGACCGGTCATTATTTATGGCGAGGGGTGGCACCGAAGAGAAATGTTTCCGTGTCAAAAATTTTGCTGACCCAACCATTAAAAACACAAAAATTTGATTACCCAACCTCAAATATCAATCAAAAAATAAATACCCACCCCTGGCCAAAAACGTAACAAACGGATACCATTCAGTTGTCATACATGTCCTTTATCACTTCAGTGACATGAGTTTGATAACGGCTTGTGAAATTTTCTGCAGTCTAAAGTTTCATGTTGTCTGCACATGTACTTTCTTTGGAAACACAATTTGTTTTGTCAAACTATGATCAAGATAGTGACTCTGATTGATTCACATATTGTATTGAGAAATGACTGTTGACATTGCTTTTCAGTCTCCAATATTTCAGTGGGTCATGCTTTGGAAATGACAATAAATTTTTATTACCCAACCCTTGAGTTGTTTTGTTTTTCATTTACCCAACCTTTTACTCACTCAAAATTTTGTTTACCCAACCTTTTTCTTTTCGGTGCCACCCCCCACCATAAATAATGACCGGTCCCTAAGAAACGTAACGATAGTAGTTTTTTAAATTTAGGGAAAAAATCATTATACAAGTATTATCTTTTATGCAAAGTTCACCGAAGGTTTTAAAATGGCCTGAAAAAGACAAATTTTGAGCTTTATTCTAATCATGCTGCCGCCATGGCAACAGACTTTCAACACAAAAGTAACAAATTGCAATGTTTAGGACAGCATTGTCAATGTGTCGAATAAATTTCGTCTTGTGAAGAAACAGGAGTCTCCTGGATACTATAGTGTAGTATAATGCAAAAACCATAGGGAGCCACCTTAAGCCCCGACATTTGGTGGATGTAAAGGAGTGACGCTTGTATACTCGCAAAAATATTGGCAAATAGGGAGGGAGAAGGTAAAATTTCAGCAATTTTAAGAAATATATATTTTACTAAAATCTCTGTTGCTTTGCCTATACAGTTTTACACAGACAATGACATCGTGAAATTAATGAGAGAACTCAATAAGGATTTGTAAACAACAGCTTATTCAGGGCGGCAATTGCGGCTTTAGAAAATAAATAATATATAGCGGCACTTGTAGAACGCAAATCGTAGACATGTTGAATTGAATTGATCT